GAAAAATGCTGGATGTTTACAGTTGTGAGATAAATATGCCAGTTCAGCTCCAGACGTTATCACGCGTATTCTCGATGGACTTCAGCGAAACTGGGAAGGTCTAACACATTCAATAGTGAGGTGGTTAATGGAGTACCTCATGCTGATATTCCATGGGTCCTCCAGTTTCGCTAAAGCCTGCCGTGTGATGCGCGCGATAGCGGGCGAAGCAAAACTGGTAAATATATAACTAGCAAAGATCACTTGAAAACGGCAGGCGAATTGTAGTGACGGGATCCGGGACCCACTGAGCCGAGGTAGGCAACCAGGTGCACGGCGCAATCCCTCTTTTACGTTGAGCCACAAAGGCTTTCTTCCCCGAGCCACTAGGCTCTTCCCAACTGGCCACTGAGGCCAAAACACCGAGCCACTAAGGCTTCTCTGGGCCACTTAGGCCAAACCACCGGCCACGGAGGCTCCACTAACGAGCCACCAAGGCCCTCACCTTTCAGCTACTGAAGCCCTAGGCTCTCAGCCCTACGAGCCGGAAGGCTCGCAACGAACAATACCGCTCTGGCACCACACAGATGCCAGAAGACAGGAACTCTGGAGCTGGAGCGCTGGAACACCGGAGCACCGGAACTCGGGAACTGGAACCACTACAACCCCGACCTTGCGTCCGGACCCCTTTTATTGGGCCGCTCCCGCGCGATTGGTTCCCCTCCGGCAAGGTGGTCTCTCATGACTCCCTGCGATCAACAACTGCCGCCTCCTCTACGATCTACTTGGTTCAGACCAGCTGATCTACAGCTGATCTCTTGGGGCCAGCATATACCTCTCTGACAGATGCTCCTATGACTGTTGAGGGTGTTGCTATTATCATGCTATTACAAAACACTGGCATCTCCAGTGTTCTGCGAACATGACTGTTCTGTAATAGCATGACAAGAAGTTCTGCGAACTTCTTAGTCACAGCTGCTCATGGACTTGAAAACTTTCTTCAAATGGAGCCTAAATATCTGGACTCTTGCCCGCATGACATCCCTTAGAATTTCTTCTCGTATTTTTTTTTCGAAGAACAGCCTTCAGCGATCCATAAAGAACGGTGTTGTTCTCAGCTTCAACACCGTCCACCTTGTATGATTCACTGCATTGAATTCGAAGAACTCGCCAATCTTTCCTTCGACATGAAGTTGAACTGATGGACTTGTGCACCGAACTTCCACACACCAATAATTAGTCCAATCCTATCCATAGTATAAGCATTCGCTGAAGTATGTCTGTGTCGTGTATCGCTAGTGTGCTCGTTCTGTCTGTAAACGTACGCTACCGTACGTCCCGTCTGTCGCCGCGAGTCATACAGCCCGCGCTCTCCGCGCACGCACTGGAACGCTGATTTTTTGTATAATAGTGGTAGGGGGGTGGGACGGGAACAGTATTTGGTGGGGGTTTTAAGAGAGTGAATAATACGGGGGATAAGAAGTCTTGATAAAGACGGGCGGCTGAAGACGGCAAATTTCTCGACGAAATCCAGGTGCGCGAGCGCCATCAGCGTCGCAGTGGAGCCGGGCGTTGGTTTCCACGAAGTTCGATGGTCAGGGGGCAGTGGACGGGAACATGTATGCTGAGGTACAGGCCGGCGCAGGTGATACGGGCCGACAGAAGTTATCTGTCGGGATCCACTATAGATTGCTTAGATATCAAAAGCCGGGTTACTGCCAGAATAACGCATTGTCATCGTTCAGCTATCCATCGCATTGCGGTTATGTTGTCATCAACCATTATGAGAGACTGTTTCGATAGGAGTCCCGCTATATTCCCAGTAAATCCCTAACTATAGCACGGGATGTTTAGCGCCCCACTATAGATTCGAATCTGCGTATTTCTATGGCACAAGACCAAATTCGAAATGCATCAATCTATTAGTGGCGTCGTTGTAAGTTATACGAACCGCAAATCATCCTGACATCCAATGCATGGTGGCTGTTTACAGACACCACTGTAGCTCCGCACTCCACCGCGCGTATCAGACGGTTGGTTAAAAATGGGCATTCTGTAGAAGGCCAGCTAACGCATTTCACGAAGAAAGTTATTGTTTAGCGGCGAACCTAACGCTCCGCCGGCTGGCCAGCTTTACGGAGCCCTTCCGTGTCATGCACGCGGTAGTGTGCGGAGCTAAACTGGTTTCGTAATAACAGATTTGTTGACTTGAAGGTGGGTTTCATGATAAATGGCTGCCTACCAGAAGTGATAGCAGAGCTGATGAAAGATGCAGTGGTAAAAAACAACGAAGATAGACCGCATCGAACCCCTTTAAAAATGACCCTCTTTTTACCCAGTATTTCCGCATTGGAAGAGCCAGTTGTACCCTAGATTGCTAACGCATTTCTTAGAAGAACAAAGACACGACTGCTGGATAGCCGTGAGTGGGCATGTGGCGTTTCGAGCGTCCCGGTGCGGCCCCAGTAGGTCGCTGGAGCATACTCTTCGTTGCAAAACTGACTGCGTGACATCCCTCTGAATCTCTTAGAGAACCTTTCGAAAAGCAGCCTTCTGCAATCCATAGAAAATCGTGTTGTTTCGTGCAGATCCAGCGCTTCAACACTGTCCACTTGCCAGAATCCAATGCGTTCGAATCGATGAGTCGGCTGGTCAATCTTTCTTCGACACGAAGATGGGCAGACGGGCTCGGTATCGAACTTCCGCAAAATTCAGTACGTCCAACCTGGCTGCTGGGAGCATACCCTTCGTTGCAAAACGTTGATCGTCCCGCACGGTTATAGAGCCCGCCTGCTCTCCACTTAAAGGCATGCCCCAGGATCACATTGGTGTGGCTCTTGCACACGAATGCGAATGTATTGGTGCGAAATGGGCCGGCAGTAAAGAAAAAAGGAAAAGAATCCGTCGAAAACGCTTAGGTTAAGGGCTCACTCACCTTCCTAATCGGCTGTGCTAAGGGAATGAGAGCGCGGAGAGGAGAGTATGAGGCGAGAGAGCGCTACAGATGAGAGAGCGCCAGACCGCTCTTGTCGGTTGGTTTCCGTGCACGGGAACGCCACATTTGTGATTGTCCTCTAGGGGTCTATACTACAGACCGAAGAGAAGCGTTCACACGACCTCTGCCTGGGTTGTGCCTTTAATGTATTCCGCTTCGTAGATCTCTGAACTTATCGTGATATTACCTTCGATACAAGTACTTCAGACATTGTGTGCGGAACCGGTGTTCTCTTTCTACATGCTTCCTGAGGACAACGACAATGACAACGCTGGAGAATTGACCCTCTGTGGAACAAATCCTGCGCATTATAAGGTACTACTTTTTGACACATGGAACATGATAGCAAAAATGAGAACAATTTGAAGGGTCCACTCGTATGGGCGCCTGTGGTTGTTGAGAAGTACTGGCAAATCGAAATGGGCCCTGTGTATGTCGGACGAATGCCAATGACCAATGGAACAGCACAAGCCATCGTTGACACCGGCACCTCCATTATTGCTGGACCAACTGATGTTATAAACCAGGTTGCTTCTGAAGGTCTTTCAGGTCGTGCCCTGCATTTTAAAAACGGTTTTTGCACGATGTGGGGGAACATGCATGGTACACAGAAAAGCGGTTTACTTTTTCCTGAGCGGCCCCCGCATGTCAAAAAAGGGTTGGGACAAGCAAGAGCGTCACACCTTCTTGACAGCGGTTCTCAGCAAAAACCTACTCATGCAGGATAATGATCGTCCTCAACCACTACTAGCCGCGGGTACAATTTTGCGACATCCAGACGTCAATCGAATGCAAAATTTAGTCACCAAGAGGAATCGAACCACGAAGCATCATTTCATCCCTTTTTGGCGTCCGAGGGGAAGCTCAGAAAAATTGAAGCAAGTTCCAATTTCCATCATTTTCCATCACTTGTCCCTGTACAGTGCAAGAAGCGCTTAAAAAATCATCATAGCACGGCCTGAGAAGGTATTCCTGGTGAGCGGTGTAGTGATGGGATTACTCATAATTATTAGGTTGGAAAGAAAGTTCTGCAACACTCTTTCTAAAATTTTCTTTTTTTTGAAAAATTCATAGGTAACATTTATGACTAACAAATGGTAGAGCATTCTCGAGGCTTCAAT